GTTGATGGGTTTAAGACCTTGTCATGCTGCTCTTTCTCTCGTTGACAGTTTTGTTTCAAGAACTGCCAAAAGTTGGCCTATACATGTCAAACCTTATTGGTCACCCAAGTTTGTAATGAAGAACACGAGGAGAAGGAAGGAGCAAGAAAAGGAGAGGGGCCATCTTTGCCTCCACGTAGCTGGTTATGATTGCACAAACTTGTGCTGTGCACATAAGAGTGGGACACACCTGTTCAGGGTGTATACAGTATGTATGTAGGGCAACTGAACTTTTGGCTGACTAAACACCACACTACACACACTATGGGCATTCAAAACTATTGATGGTCCCTTTATTCCTAACAGAGCTCATAGCTGTGACACAATACTGCGCCGACTGTGCTCTACGGCCTTTGTATTACTGTATGACCACACACATTTTACTGCAGTAGAATGCGAGATTCACACATGACGAGTTGTACATGTACGTGGACAAGTTACACACTACGTAAACGTGCTCTCCGGTCCGGACATTTACACGTTTTTATAAGTACGTGTATATGTAGGCTCCCTTCACTCGTCAATATCTACCTTGTTGTCAGGAGAGTTGAGTCTGACAACCGCCACATTGTCCTTCATCACACACTCTACGTGCTTCAGATCTGCGAGAAAAAAATTCGTGACATTTTACATCATCATCATGAGTACAATTTTTCAGTAGCTAATTTATGAAGTTACTTATGCTTTTTGTTTTACCTGGAAAGCGATCATTAGCACCACCATAGGAGTTAGAACACAGTTATAAGAGGAGCTAGGGAACCAACGACGATGTTTGTTTACAGGGCCATACTTACGTGAAGCTCCTGTCACGGCGGAGCAGTACCATCTGGAACAAGAGATGCGCCCTAAATAGGGAAACATGAGGGAAAACGTGAAATTATCACCGATAGTCCCAGCCAATATCTCAAGGGAGACAGTGGCCAGCTAGACATCGAATAGAAGCTCAAATCTACCAATGAGGGTGTGAATCAGTCCAGCCGATCGCAACGGAGCCCGCAAAACGCTCGCCATCTCGTCCAATCCAAGGAGCTGAGTGCAAAAGTGCGCGGCGCGCGTAAACATAGGTCACGTGATAGTGAGATCGGTGATCACGTGACTGGGTACGGAGAGGTCATTAATTTTTTCGCACGGAGGAACACAGAAAGGGGAAAGAAATGGCGTTGCAGTTCTCCCGGGCTCTCCGACGACTAGCAACCGTGCCTCTCTACCGCAGCTCGGCTCAGGGAGTCCGTCTCGCTAGCAGTAAACCTGACGAAGGTTAGTCAATTTCGCCCCGAGGCTGCGTTGTGATATTATTTCCCCCCTTCTCCTGCCTGCAGAGGAAACCATCCCTACTGACATGGAGCAGGCCACTGGTCTGGAGAGGAAGGAACTGGAGGCGCTCATGCAGGGGAAGGAGGTGTGATTCCTATTAGTGCCCACCTGGAAACAAATGCACTGTGCTTTGCACACGTGTGTCTATGCAGGATCCGTTCAACATGTCGGTCCAGTCTGGACCGAGAGGAACGCGAGAGCAGCCAACCCTTGTTCCATCAATGTATGAGGAAAGAATTGTTGGCTGCATCTGTAAGTAGTAGTTGCCTCTCACTGTATATACACATCCTTCAAGATACTGTTACTACCCTCCAATTTTCTCCCTTTACATCTGTATTTTCCTTCTCTCATTTCTATCACTAACCAGTGCAGGTTTATGGGTTACTCCTCAATATGTTTTTTGCCTCAATTATGTGCATGCCAGCTGCTGGGCTCACTCTTTGTCTCAGCATTCCACATTGTGTACATACTACATCTCTGCATTATCTATTGCCCTCCGACTATCCTGTTTGTAATGACCTCCCCCCTTTTGTCTCCAACGTGCAGGTGAAGAGGATGCCACATTCATAACCTGGCAGGTGGTGAACAAAGGTGCGGCCCACCGCTGTGAGTGTGGCCAGTTTTACCAGCTGGTGGACGCCAACCCTACCAAGATAGACAACATCTAGACCACTGGGAGTGCTCTTATTAGAACCTCTTTAGCCACTTACCTCTGCACACTGTACAGTGTTACGGTGTATTATGTTGACATGTTTAGTCCCATCTCTGAAAATACGTGGTTTGTTCCAAAAGTTACGTTGAATTCTCATATGGGAGATGTTGCATGTCTATATAATATATATAATACGTGCATCTGACATGGGAATATATACCACCACACAATTAATGTAATGGACATGTGCAGCTTCTACACATAATCATCCTTTAAAATACCAAGTTTTGCAATAGGGAAAAAAATTTTTAGCTGCAGTATATACAATTTTCACGGGTGGAAATAATTGAGAAGGAAAATGGACGATAAACCGTTACACACAGAGTGATATACTGGGAATACACCGGCATTAGAGAATAAGGAACAGACGAAATTGAATTATTGCGAGCTCATTTGCATGCTACTAATCTTCTCGGCTAATGCAAGGGGCTTCCCCTTCAGATGAATTAATCTTAAGGTCACGCTGTGCTTCAGCTATGGCTAGACCGGCCACTTCTTTCACCATTTCTTCCAGTCTGTCTTCAAAACTAATGTTTCTTCCACCAGCCTTGCTTCTTTCAACATCAAAAGTCTCTGTGCTTTTTCCCGAGAGAGATGATTCTATACCTTGCGCTGATTTAGATCCTCGCTTCTCTAGTGCTCGATGATTTGACTTTGAAGAGCCAGTTTCCTCTGCCTCCCCTCCCTCCCCTTCTCTCCCTTCCTCTGTCACGGAGTCTCCGTATCCACCATCCACTTCCTCAGGTGCATGAAGTAGCTCCTGCCCTAATGTCCGTGGGTCCAGAAACTTTTCAACCAGAGACTTTCTTACGTCAATCTCCCCACCCTCACCACTCACCAACACCCTCACCCTCACTCCCCTCCCCTCCTCTCCCTCCACACAGCCTCTCCCCTCTATCATCAACCTCACCTCTCCCTCCTCCCCAATCATCTCTTGAAAGTGAGCAAGACATTTCTTTGGCCACTCCAATGTCCACGCCTCTTGACTCGGAGGTCGCGAGGGGTCAATGTCCCTGTCCGTCAACGGAACCAGCGAACATGTGACAACAAGTGGAGCTAGAGCGCCACCAAACTCCTTCTCCAACTTTTTCACTCTCGTCATTTCCACTTCTTCAGAGTTTCCATAGTCGACGTAAGTTAGTCTAACTCTGCCTCGTGGGAGAACGTTGCCGATCTCACCTCTGTACCACACATCCTCTTCGGTGTAGCAAGCACACACGGCCATCCCCTTTCGCGGTTGGGTAACTTCTAGATCAGAGCTCCCTATCTGGTAGCCTCGGGATGCTATTTGCTCCATTAGTTCTTCAAGCTGGTCTATTTCATCTGTGAGCTGGCAGTGGAACTCGTCCAAACTTGCTATACTCGTTACTACCGCATTATGGGTAGACCCCTGCACTAACGACCGGCTCGGATAACTGGTACTAAACGTGTCAGACACACTTTCCTTCACTTTATCGTCTTCACCTACTGCAAGTGGTTCCTCCGCTGAAAGTGGTAATTCTGATGGATGAGGTTGGGGAGCCCCTGATGACATTGGCTCTGATTGCTCGGGAGTGACTTTGCTGCTCGAAGCTGCAGTTGTCGGCGTGTCCTGAAGTGCCGTAGCCAGATTTCCATCAATGAGTGACTGAGCCACATTAACCCCCTCTTCACTACTCAAATTAACCCCATAGTGACCAGCTGAATCGGCAAATTTAACTTCAATCTTACACACTGACTCAGCATGTCCAGTCAGTTCCAGAACATGCTGTGAGGCATCAGCCCCAAAGCTGCCCTGGCCTTCAGGTGGTTCAACGCCCGCCAGGAAACACTCGAGAGCAAACGGAGGTTGGGAAGGAAGGGTGGGAGAGAGAGTTCTAAGATTCGACACGTCGCCCATCTCCCTGTTTCCATAGTCTATGAACAGCAGCTCGACTTGGTTCTGGTCTGAAGGGTCAAAACCCAGCACCTTTGCCCTGTACCACTTCAAGTCTTCAGTGTACTGGCCGCAAACATAGTCCCCTACTATAGGCGGTCCAGGCAGGACCAGTTGGAGCGTGTCGACGTTCTCGTATGCTGATTCTAGTGCCGTAGACATCTTATCGAGCGACTCTGACTCACTGGCTAGTTGGACGAAAAACGAGTGTGGCGAATCACAAGACACCACATAGACATCGTAGGTTGAGTCGATATCTAGTCTTCTCTGAGGGACAGCGGTGTTCCTTGTAGCTGCTTGCGACCCCTTTACTATTTCAGCTAACTGTGGCACCGGTTGGTCATTTGAATCAGTTGCGTCAATCTTGGGTGTCACCTGATCAGGATTTTCCGCCGCTTCCACTTCTACCGGTTCCTCGGGGATGACGTAGTTGCTAAGGTTCCCCAGTTCGCATTCGTCGTGGAGATAGTTGAGGACCGTCTGTGCCACGTCTGCACCAGTCTCCCGGTCCTCAACATTGACTGTCGGTCTCATTCCCTTCGAGGCCGGGTGGACCACCTTCACCTTCACCACTCTATCACTGACTTGTTCGTCGATCAAATTCTTGTACTCTTTGGGCCATGAATCCCTACGCGGTACGTTGGCTAGAGAACACGCAATAGCCTGGCACGGCAACTCGAGGTAGTTTTCCGGACACATTACCATCTTGGCCGGCGCGATCGTTTCCGAGTTGCCGAAATCGATGAAGAACACTTGGAGACTGGCGTCGGCTCCGGTCTCTACAACCTTTGCTCTGTACCAGACTTCGTCGGTGTACCGAGCCAGGACAAAGTCGCCTTCCTGGAACACTTCCTGATGCTGCTTCTCCGCAAAGCTAGTGCAATACTGCTCGATCTCGTGCGACAGTTTTTCGAGTTCGGGCTGGCAGTCCAGTCGTTGAAGGAACAGGAACGACGGGCTCTCGACATACACCACCATCGCATCGAAATTCTGTTGGACACTGAGGTTGAGCGTAAACGGGGCCTTGATTAAGGGTTCCCCCTCTCCGCCTCCCTGATCGCTTGCTTCCTCGCTGGATTCCGTGTCGGAGAGGTTATCGCCCGAGGCGTGGCTGGAGCCCTGAAGAGCGAGCGTGGAGAAATTCATGTTTCCTTTAGAAGTTGGTCCAAGATTTCCATCGGGAAACAGACCCTGACTGCTTGTAGTAGCGCCCCTGCCATCATCAGAAGTCCCTGCAGAGTGCTCTGACGGTTTCCCCTCGCTGGTTGTAACATGGACAGCAGTGGGTGGGAGGGAGGAGGAGGATGCAGAGGATGCATACATCGGTTCTGACTCAATCACTAGCTGATTACCAGGGGCAACCACTTGTGGACGATGATCAACTCCTTCACTTCCTACCTCTCTGTTTGAGCGGCGACAGCGAGGAGAGAATAGGGGGAGAAGTCGATAGGGGAACCGTTGGAGGACAAGCTGCACATGCACAAGTCACCGTCCATCTTTAACACTGTCAGTGATAGAGCTTCGTCTCCCAGTAGTCCTCTGAATTCTTCAACTTTGTCCTCGGTCCATTCCACTCCAGCGGTGGAACCGGAATCAAACACGGAGCAGTGGAGAGCCTGCACCGGCACTTTGAAAAGACTGGGAGGACATTTGAGTATGCAGACAGCGATGTTGATTCCGAGTTCCGTAATCGACAAAGTGGACGACCACGTCTGTCCATTGTCCGATACACTCTCGACTCTGGCTCGGTACCATTCGTTGTCATCGCTAAACTGGGCAGACAGTATGTCCCGGGACACGCAGACCCCAGTCCCACCAGACCACCTCCAGTGACGGCACCAGCCAGCTCCTCCATCATGGCCTCTAGATCAGCGGCCAATGGCAGAGGCTGGCAATAGAAACTGGAGGGAGAGTTTAGAAAACTCACATACACGTCGATGGTGGACGAGATAGGATAGGAGAGTGTCTTAAACGAGAGAGCTGAAGAGTCTGTTGTGGGGATTGGCGATTCAGAGGCACTGTTGAGAATTTGGTGATTCAGAACCTCCCCGTCAAAGTCGCTCAGGTCCACGAGGTAGCGGCCGTTCTCAAGGATTCCGGTGACCAGAATCCTGTAGCAGAGTTCAGTGTCTGTCTGGAGGAACCTGGCAATGCTCTCGTCGGGGAGTTGGAGGTTGAGGTCTTCCACCAGAGAGCAGCAGACTGCCTGCTTGGCGAGGGTACCCAGAGCAGGGCTGAGTCCCAGCACTCGCGAGGGAGATACAACCTCGCAGTTCCCGAAATCGACAAACTGCACCGTCACCATTTCCCCTCCTTCACTTCCTTTGATCTCGATTATTTTCCCTCTGTGCCAGGCGTCGTTCACCGAGTACTTGGCGGCGCAGTACCGCCCAACCTCCAGTGTTGCAGGGGGCGATTTTTCAGCATAGAAGTCAGAGACGGAGGCCATGAGCTCGTCCACTGTGGCCTCGTTATTCATCAGCTGACAGTAGAACTCTCTCGGGGAGTCCGACATGTGAGAGATGTACACTTCGTAGCTCTCCCCTTCCCTTAGTACCATATCCGGTATCATTATTACAGGGGCACTCTCCGAGCCAGTCCCGAAATTTCGTTGCTCAGTTGGTAAACTTTCCGAGGGTGGGTCAGTGAATAGTTTCGTGTTTGGTTGTAGCTTCGACACTGCAAATCCTTTATCCATCATAGCCGTGGCAACATCTTTATTCAGACACGTCAACATTACAGACCACACCCCTTTGTCTGACTCGTTGACAAATTCCGCAGCTACAGCATTCTCAAGTACCAAACTGGAGAAACCGGATATCGACTCGTCACTCCAAGTTTGACCAGTGGGTGGGACGATTCCAATAAGAGAGCACTGTACAGCCTGTACAGGTATTTCGAGTATCTCCTGCTTCAAAACTTTGACTAGAGCAGGTGAAACTATCTCGCTGTTTCCGTAGTCAACGAAATGAACCTTGACCCCGTCGCTACCGACCGAGTCAACGACACCGCGGTACCACTGCAAGTCGGTGCTAAATTGGGCACAGCACACCTGCCCCGGTTTAGGATGTGGTAAGGCCAGTTTTGACAGGTTTTCTGAGACGCCATACTCACCCGCCAACAGTTCAGCGAGTGAGTCGAGCTCACTTTCGTTGGAGGAAAATTGGATCCAGAACGAGGAGGGGCTCTCGATATGACTAACAAATCCTTCCTCTGTGGAGTTTGTCTCAACGATACACGGTGGTAGACTTTGCTCTTTGGTTCCATATTTGTGACCAGCGTACCCTCCTATGGAACCTCCCGGCGTTTTACTTGCCACACCTTCTCGAGTGCGATTCTCCTCCGTATTTCTTCGATTTTTTCCGATCTTTGACACAAGAATACCCGCCTCGCAGGCCTGCTCTAGAACGTCCAGACCATCGCTGAGTCTCGTCAGCTGAACCACAGACTTCTCACCAGTCATTTCGACCTCAACGAACTTCAGACGGAACCCAACATCATCCGACGTGAGGTGATTATTGAAAATCGACTCGTTCCCGGCAGCTATCGAGTATTTGTCTGAGTTGAGAATTGTGCACGGGGCAGCCTGCACGGGCAGCGAGCAAAACTTGGCCGACATTGCACGGAGGGATATCGTCTCCTCGCTATTTCCATAGTCGACGAAAAGAACCTTGAGACTGTCTTTGGCAATCTCTTTCACTTGTGCCCTGTACCACGCCATGTCTTCAGAGTATTGGGCCAGGATTATGTCATTGATACCGACATCATCGATACCTTTCACTGTGGCAGAGGCAGATTCGCAGTGTTGCTGGATTTCCTGTGTTAGTTGTTCGAATCTATCATCCAGTTGGGTCGGCTGGCAATAGAGAAATTTCGGAAAGTCGCAAAATATTACAAACACTTCTATCTCGCTGCCCACTGTGCCGCAAAAGGGAGGAATTGCAAGGGTGTCATCTTTAAGGTGGTCGGCGACGACAGCAGGTTTTGGTGGCTCGGCACTTGCAACTGCAAATCCATCTCTGATAAGATTCTGGGCTACATTACTACCAGCCACAGACATTTCCACACTGCAACGGTCACTTCTCACGCTCAAAACTGTCACCGTACAGTTCTGGTCAAGGACTGTCTCATTCAGTGTAGTACAACACTCGTCGGTCCAGACACCTTCCGGCTGTTCCCATTGGTTGGACTCCATTTAGAGAGCACTTCAGAGCGTGTTGGGGTTCTGAGAGGAATTGAGGGTCAAGTTCTCGCAGTTCTGTCGTTGCAACTTTTGCACTGTTCCCGTAGTCCAAATACTGGACAGTCGCTTCCCCAGATTTCACCGCTGTTACTCTCACTCTGTACCACGACCCATCGGTAAACGGAGCAGCACAGACTGTCCCGATTTCCGGTCTCTCGACCCCTATCCCAGAGCTTTTCTCGGCGTAGAAGTCGTAGAGTTGGCGTAGGAGGGCTTCGGCTAGTGGAGTGGAGCTCACAGTTTGGCAGTAGATCTCACTTGGGCTCTCCACATGAGTGACTATACACTCAATAGGCTGGTTCAGAGCTGATTGTGCCGGAGGTAAAGTCACTTTAGAGCAGGGTGCACTGGATGTTGTTCGTACAGGAGGTTTGTCTTGTAATTGGGTCTGTCCAGCTTTCAAATGGACTCTTTGGAGAAACTTTCCGATGCTCTGCTCTGCCTGTGGAAGGCTAGCATCGAATAACTCGATTGGAACCGAACCAGAGTACGAAGTAAAGGGCTTCAAAAACTTGCCAATAAGCTGTTTTTCGCTGGCAGTGAACTGCGAAAACGTTTCAACGACGTTTGGAGATGTTGCAACATTGGGAGGTAAGCTGTCCAGATGACACTGAATGGCAAGACAGGCCTCGACTGCAAACTGGACTCGCAGATATTTCAAATCGGACGCAGGGACTTCCTCCTCGTTACCGTAGTCGACAAATCTCACCTTGGCTGTGGCCCCGCCCACACTAATGATTCTTGCTCGATACCAAACATCGTCCTCGGAGAACCTGGCTGCACAAAACACCCCCTCGTTCAGGGAAAACAAGACATGGTCGCGTTGAGACATCGGCGTGTAGATTTCGTTCATCTTTCGAGTGAGGTCTTCGAGCCGACAGGTGTCATCCAAGAGTTGCACAAAGAATTTGGCTGGGGATTCGACGTAGCTGAGACACACGTCGATCTGCGTGTTAACGGGGAACGAGGGAACTTTGACCTCTGTGAGCGTCGGGCTTGATGAGGGTGAGAGGTTGGAGAGAGTGGCACGAGGGATTGAAATGTGCCCTCCTTCAACGAGTGTTGTGACTGGCTTACTACCATCCGAGAGAGAGAGATCGACAGTGTAAACCGGTCCAGAAGAATGGTGCAAAACGCTCTTTATGATTCCACTGGCTTCTTGCTCGAGGGTGAGGTCGTTGAAGGTCGTCTTGGCTGCCTCGGGGGAGACTTGTACTCCAACCCCATGCAGAGAGCAGCGGATGGCCTGCACAGGGAGGGAGAGGAAGGAAGGAGGGATTGCCACCAGCGAGGAGTCCCTGAGCGTGTCCTGGTTGCCATAGTCGACAAACGTAACCTCAGAGATGCTTTGGTCACGCTTGGAGATCATTGCACGGTACCAACTCTGGTCATCAGTAAACTGGGCCAAAACAGGCTGTCCGATTGCCAGATTGTCCGGCATTCGAGCTTCGTCTGAGCTGCAGTAGGTGGCTATCTCGTCCATCAGTGCCGTTAGTTTCGGCTCGTGCTCGCTCAACTGGACGTAGAAATCTTGAAGAGAGTCCACAAAAATGACAGTCATTCCGTACGACCTTCCAACCTCCAAAGTCAGAGTGGAGTAATGCTGCTGCTTGCTCCGGCGAGGCCCTGCACCGGTATGGAGTGGGGACAGATTCTTGGTCTGCAGAGAAGACTGTTGGTTGCTCGGGTTACCACGTGGGGAGCGCTGCGATTGGGACGGAGGTCTGTTACCACGTGCGCTGGCGTCTCTCGAGTCGGAGGTACTGCCACGGGTGCTACTGCCTCCTGATCCACTTCCACGGGCGTTTCTTTCCCTCGAACCACCGCTACGCCCACTGCCCTCCCTAGCACTACTCTCCCTTGAAGGTCTGTTCTGCTGGTAAGAACGCGACTTTCTCAGTTCCTCTTTCCAACTAGCCAGCCCCATTTTCACCAGCTCTTCTCCAATATCCCTCCCTCGCCCGTCCTTTAGCCTCACTGCAGGGTACCCGTCACCGTCGTGTTCCACCACCTCGCATGTTAACACCCCCGATGATGTCATTTTCATGAAAGACGAAACGGTCTTGACCGGCCACACGCCTCCCCCGTCAGCAGGGACCAAGGAGTGCATGGAAAAGCTGACTGCTTGTGTAGGAAGAAGAATGAGTTCAGGTTGAAGCTGTTTCAGGGCCGAAATCTTGAAAACTTCGGTGTTTCCGAAATCCACAAACAAAACTCTAGCTCTTTTGGAGGGGGCATCGATCGCCTCGATCTTTCCCCTGTACCATTTCCTGTCGTCGGCAAACTGGGCGGCACAGGGCTGTCCCAAATTGGGGTCCAGCAGTCCCGGAATTGAGCTGGGATCCTTGAATGAGGTGGACATGTTTTTCATCATGTCGTGGAACACGCCCTGGTGGGCTGCGAGTTGAGCCCACACCACACTGGGTGACTCTAAGTGAGTGATTGTTATTTCGTAGGTCTGGCCTACCTCCATCCCTCCCGCGGTGTACTCCTTTGGCAGGCTCTGCTGGATTGCTCCCTTACCCAGCCTCATGTTGGGAGGTTCCCCAAGAACGGAGGTGACGTCAGAAGACGTGGCACAACCGCCGGACACGAGCATCTCGGAAATGGTCGACCCGGTTTCAGGATTGCGCAAGACTACCGTGAAAACCTCGGGCGTTAGCTCGTCGACAAAGTCTGCGTCTAGCTCCACGTTGATAGTTGCGTTGGCAAATGCGTCGCAGGACTCTGGTGTCCAGTCTTTCTTGACGGGTCTGACTCCTTCGAGACAGCACTGGATTGCCTGGGCTGGGATTGTTGCTAGTGACGCAGGGAGCTCCAGAAGATCGCCTGTTGACACCGTAGTGCTGTTGCCGTAGTCGACAAACTGAACTTCGACCTTTGAACCCTTAACCTCAATGATGATGGCGCGATATAGTATGCCGTCTTCAGCGTACAAAACGCAACATGCGACTCCAGTGTACACCGCTTCTCGAGGGAGCGGTTGTAGGGATGACATCATTTCGTCGGCCAGGGCCACGGCAATTACTTCGAGGGTGGGGCTAGCAGTGGCCAACTGGAGCCAGAATCGACCAGGAGAGTCAGAAAATGCCACAAACACTTTCGCCGTTGTTCCAACACTGACATTCTCGTTGCAGATGGCAAACTGCCCCAGTCCAATGCTGACTAGCATTGAGGAATGCGACACTGCCCCCACCTCGTCCTGAAACAGGGTGACATTGTAGGACGGGTAGCAACCCCCGCCGCTGTCCTGTAGGACGGCGTCGCTGTAAGGGTGAAGGTTCGAGCTGATGGACCGGAACATTCCGTGGACCTCCTGGTTGAGTAGTTTCTCAACGAGAATCTCGTGAATGGTCTCGCTCCACTGGGACTCTTTGGGAATGAAGTCACTCAACGTACAGCAGAGACCCTGCGCCGGGAGGTCAAAGTACGACCCGGTAGGCGGGTACATGTCAGAAATTTCGACTTCTTCCGAATTTCCGTAGTCGGTGAAATAGACTGTTGCCGTGGTTCCTGCGTTCTTGGTCACGACAAGTGCCCGGTACAGAACCCCATCACAGGCACGGGCGTAGCATCTCGAGCCGGTTTCAAACTTCAACTGGTCTCTGTTCCGTTCCGAGACGTGGGTCTCTATTTCTCGAGAGAGGTCCTGCACCTGGTAGGCCTCGGGGGTGTCCAGTTGTACGAACACGGCCTGGCCAAGCTGCGTTACTTCTGTCACCAGCAGTTTCTGGATAACTCCAAATTCAACCTTTGTCGACATTGTTCATTAATTAATACGGTGGGTGCGGCTTTTTTAAACCTACAATTGGAATGCGCAGAACTTTCTCAATGTGTGTGTGGATGTGTGGATTTACACTGAAGCTAACAAAACCACAATTATACACTATTGAGCTTTGCTCTCCCTCAACACATGACAGCTAAACAGCTCACGTTTTCACATGAAGGAAGTAGAAAACGAGAGAGAGAGAGAGAGAGAGAGGACTCCTAAAGGGCTTCATACCTACATTAAAAAAGACAAAAACACAACTTACCAAAAACGCAGACAGCATTCACTGCGGCTTATAAAACAACCTCATGTGTCACCACAGCCTCAGACGTGGACCTAAACCTATGGGAACAACAAGTATATTATCACGTATGTGTGTATTACATATAGAGTGTATAGCACTGTATATACAACACAACTGGCAAATTGACATTACAATTCTTGCCAATATGGGTACAATGGCACGGGTATAAACATACACTCAGTGCAACCTATATACACACATCAACATACCTGTGGACACCAGAGGCAGACAGGTCAACAGTTGTCGATAAGCTGTCCCAGGAGAGAAATTAACGTTGAACACCTGTATATACACGCAGATAAAGAGGTTTCAAAGAGCTCTATTTTGTGGGTTGCATGCATGATTATTCAGAGGAGGCCGGGGTAATAGCTCTCGTACCTTCGACAGCATTCGCTGCACTCTTCAGACAAGAGGCTAAACATCTTTTGCTAACATAATGTACAACTTCCTAACGATTTACACACATGTATACAGGGGTCACTTTCGACTTGGCTCGACTGGCTATTGGTAACGCCCTTTCTATTTGCATAAACCTATTGGGGTAGGAGATAGAGGTCCCCCCAATCCCACTAGTTGTTAATTAAACCACAGCAGAGTGATTTTTACACAACATTAATTTATGTACTTCTGCAACCAAGCAAATCATATTGCAAGCATCGTTAAGTGACCTAGATACGATACCAGTATACCTTCGGATGTTTCTAAAACCCAAAGCTTCACCATAACCCAACTTTAATAGATTCAACAAAAATGCACTCTCTGCACACATGCAGACGCGATCAACGTGCCCAGACTCACGCACAGTCATAGATAAAAACCTACGTTTTGGGGAGGGCTCCACTGAGTGTTAAGGGCAGTCACTTTCTCCGTAGATCACGAGCTCCCGCGCTGTGAACCCACGTTTCGGCAAAGTAGGCACCAATTAGAATCCGTTTCCGCGCATGCGCAGTGAGCAATGGCCAAGAAGTTTTGTTGTCCGAAAGGTCACGAATGTCCTTCTCTGGAACACGTGTTCCGGACACTTAAGCTCTCCGATTCGGACGTCCTGAACGTGTACATGGTTGGTAGCCACATGTGGGGTACGTGTGGCAGCCACAGTGACTGGGACTTGGTCATAGTTCTGAAGACATTACAAACAGCAAAACCTCTAAACACGCACAAAGCCAACATTGAGGCATTCATCTTATCTCAGGAACAGTTTGTTCAGTCAATAGCAGACCACCTCATGCAGGTACTGATAGTGCTATGGTTACCGAAAGGATGTGTGTGGGTGGAAAGATTTGATCCTAGATCCAGGTTCAAGCTGGACAGGGTGGCTCTTGCAAAAGCATTCGAACACTCGCGAGACAGAGACTTGAGAGTAGCTGAGAAGCACTTCTCGAAGGGAGACAGACAGAAAGCTAAGAAGGTTCTCCTGCACTGTCTCAGGTATCTGGAACTGGGGGCTCAGATACGAGAGAATGGGAGTGTGACTGAGTATAGGGTGGCCAGCTCTCACATGACTTTGATATTCAGTGGCAGTCACGAGGATGGGTGGTCTGAGATTATGGCTCCTGTGAAACCGATTATGGATCAACTTTGGAGTAAAATCATCGCCTGAATATACACAGTGGTGCATTTTTGTTCTTAATTCATAGTCACATTCCAACACTATCGGTAGTGATTATATAAAAGGAACACACACCACCCCCAAGTTGTTTTATACTACATAGGCCCTGCAGATCTTTTGTTCACTCATAGTCACATTCCAACACATTTAATAACAGGAACACACACCACCCCCAAGTAGTTTTATACAATATAGGCCCTGCAGATCTTTTGATTTTAGCTATGACAGAGCAACTTTTGTTTTGCTACCGCAGTATCAAGATCTACAAAATTGAGAGTCTCGGTAGTTTCTTCAGTCAATAGCAGACCATCTCATGCAGGTACTGATGGTGCTATGGTTACCGAAAGAATGTGGGTGGGTGGAAAGATTTTACCCTAGACCCAGCTTCAAGCTGGACAGGGTGGCTCTTGCAAAAGCACTCGAACACTCGCGATACAGAGACTTGAGAGTAGCTGAGAAGCACTTCTCGAAGGGAGACAGACAGAAAGCTAAGAAGGTTCTCCTGCACTGTCTGAGGTATCTGGAACTGGGGGCTCAGATACGAGAGAATGGGAGTGTGACTGAATATAGGGTGGCCAGTTCTCACATGACCCTGATATTCAGTGGCAGTCACGAGGATGGGTGGTCTGAGATTGTGGCTCCTGTGAAACTGATTATGGATAAACTTTGGAGTAGAATGATTGCATAGCATCGCCTGAATATACACAGTGGTGCATTTTTGTTCATTCATAGTCACATTCCAACACTATCGGTAGTGATTATATAACAGGAACACACACCACCCCCAAGTAGTTTTTTACTAGGCCCTGTAGATCTTACATAGCTATGGCAGAGCAACATACTGAGTTTTGTTACCACAACATTGAGCTCTACAAATCCGAGAGTCTTGGTAGTGGATCATATGGAGGGGTGTGTAAGGCCAAGTGTGATGGACTGCTGTGTGCTGCCAAGATCATGCACCCCACTCTCTTTGACCTGCGTGACCCCGGAACCGACTCCTACCTTCGTAAGTTCCGGGAGGAATGCCACCTACTTAGTCTAGCGAGGCACCCCAATGTAGTCCAGTACCTGGGTACTTACACTGACCCTGACACACGACTGCCTGTTCTCCTCATGGAGCTTTGCGATGCAAGTCTGACAGCATTCCTGGAGCGATCCCCAGGACCACTGGCCTACGACATTCAGGTGAACATCGCCCACGACATAGCACTGGCTCTGGTCTACCTACACTCCAATGGTCTCATCCACAGAGACCTAACGGGAAACAATGTCCTAATGATTCCTGGTCCTCGAGCCAAAATCACAGATTTCGGGATGTCAAGGCTTGCTAGTGTCAATCCACGCATGACAGCCTTGACGCTGTGCCCAGGTAATCGACTTTACATGCCACCCGAAGCCCTCGAAGAATCCCCATCATACACTGATAAGCTTGACATTTTCTGCTTTGGTGTTATAACTATCCAGATTCTGACTAGGCAGTTTCCAGACCCAACTGATCGCTTGGTCTCCGTTGGGGAGCATGTTAGAATGGTTGTTCCTGAAACAGTCCGCCGTGAGGCCCACCTCAAGCTGATCCCAGACACTCACTCTCTAAAGCCACTAGCCCTACAGTGTCTGAAAAGGGAACATAAGCGCTATTCTGCTTCACAACTCCATGAAAGGTTATCTGAGCTGAAACAATGCTCTCAGTACACAACTAGCTATAGTAGTGACATGCACCAAATAGCCATTAGAGATGAAGCACTGGAAAGGAAGGAGAGAGAGTTGCAGCAATGCCAGGAGCGCCTGCGAACCTGTGAGCTGAGCCTGGAGCAAAAACATAAAGCCATCACTGACCTCCAGCAGACAATGGGAGCACAGGGAAACATAGCTCAACCGCTAGGAATGCATTTTGCAGCCAGTCAAGCCACACCGCAACAGCAGCCACTTTTGAATACGAAAACGAATTCCCCCCAAGGAGATATCCGTAAAATGAGATGGAGGGTGAGGAAAAATGCACCACAGGCAATGGTTAGGGGAACAGCTGTGGTGCATGGGAACATGCTCTACCTGAATCCAGATAGTTCATATCTCGTCTATTCATACCAAATCACCGAAGGAGAGGAAAAGTGGTGTCGGATGCCAGATAACCCCTATAGATGTTTTGGCCTCGTAATTATCGAAGGTTCCCTCGCAAGCATAGGGGGTCGGAATCCTCATCAAATCATTAACACCCTTAGAAGCCTAAAAGGAGGAAACGAGAAGAAAGAATGGGCAGAGATCTTACCTCCCATGCCTACAGCACGCTGTAACGTAGCTTGTGTAACCACTGAGCAAGCTCTAGTTGTGGCTGGAGGGGGTATAGGACATGTTTTTGTTGACGCTGTAGATGTTGTAGAGGTCATGAATATTGGCACAAAAGAGTGGAGCGTGGTTTCTCCACTACCGCAAAAATGCTCCTCTCTGTCATTTGCTGTTTGTGGGGACACACTTTACCTTGGAGGGGGCTTCACAAGCCCTCGTTATCTATCGAGCTCTATCTTTACCTGCCGTTTTCAAGACCTTTTTCGACCAAATGCTGAAAAGAGACACCGCATCATACTATGGAGAGAAATTAAAAGTTTACCAGTTGTAGGCTCTACTCTTGTCTCATTCAGCGGTGATCTGCTTGCTATTGGTGGGAGAGATGACTCTAGTACCCCCACTTCTGACGTTTACAGATATAACTCTCGAACTGATTCATGGACAGTCGTCAGTCAAATGAAAAACTCACTATCAGTCAGCCTGGCTGCTTCCTTCCCAGAAAATTGCCTCCTTGTAGTCGGGGGATATACTTTCGAGACACACCACACCATGACCAGCAGTGTTCAAGCTCTGGAATGAATTTACCATTGAAGCTGTCCGATTACACAAAACTGTATAAACTTTTTATCTACTGCATATTATAATATTAGCTATATACAACAAATGGAACATAGGTTGTCAACAGTACGAAAGTGATACACACAACGATGATAATGAAAAGCACTGAAGTGCAAACCCTCGACGAACTGCGCTTGCGCGATACCGCTAATAATTGATTGGCTGGCCCGTATATAGTATGCGTTTACTATATAGCCCGCGTAGAGTCTGACACAGGCCAGCTACGGTAGTAGAAAGCATGTGGGAGTTGATTCATGTGTGTGTGTGTGTGTGTGTGTGTGTGTGTCGACGCTTATTCTGGCACTACAGGCTACGAGGTGGCCAATGAGCGATATAAACGGCTTCAGAACTACGCGAACCTGAAAATCAATTAGGCCATTTTCCTGAAACGACTGCGTTCGAGAGATATGCCTTGAAAATGAAGCGAAAAAGCCAATATGCATAATCACGCTGGCTTACCTCGAACTTACTCGGCGTATTTTGGAGGAACAAGAAGTTACAACAGAGGGCGTGTATCAACTCCCGCATGCACTATATTATTATTATTATTATTATTATTTCAGCTTTACAACACAGGTAGGGGGTGATGCCATAAATAAGTGTGACAGATAACATGGGAGGTGGTGACAACTGTGTTGAAGGACTGAAGGCATCAAGCCAGCAGCCATAAAAATAAAAATAAAATTACACAGAATAGGACATAACATGGACAACATTTAGATAAAACTAGTGAAATGCATTGAGATGGGAAGCTTAGAGCATTTTTGGCATGGACAGACATAGTGATAGGAGCATACATTATCAGAATCAAAGTGTGAGATGAAATGAATCCAAAAGAAGTTTCGCAGTCTAGACTTGACGGTAGCAATAGGGAGATTAATATCAAATGATGGTAGAGAATTCCAAAGGCGGGGAATACGATTGAAGTAAAAATTTCTCTCAGACTGGTTTTTACAAAAGGAGTGCCTTAGCTTGAAATGAGAGGATGAGCGTGTAGGGTTGTCACAAAATTTGACATAATTGAGTATATTGAAGTGTTCGGAGGGGAACTTTAGGGATTTGATGAGAAAGATAATATCAGCAATTTCTAACTCCATCATTAGCGGTAAGAGATGTAAATACATCAGACGATTTTTATAATCCATTGCAGTACCCTTCATGACAAATTTTGTTGCTCTTCTTTGAACGAGTTCCAGACACTTTATATCCATCAACAAGTGTGGATGCCAAATGACCGAACAATAGAGCAACTGAGAGCGTACAAGGGATGTATACAGGTAGCGTTTAGCCAATACGGACATGGAGTTTGAAAAAACTCTGCGAAGCAGACCTAGCATTTTGTAAGCTTTGGATGTGATCAGCTGATAATGCGGTCGCCACCGTAAGTTGGTTGATACAATCAATCCAAGATCCTTTCCTGTGGATTTATTAGAAATTTCTTTGCTATTCATAATGTAGTTGCACATTACAGCGGAGTGGCCAGTAGTGAAGTGTAAAACAGAGCATTTCTCTTCATTAACAGACAGATTCCAAGTGTGGCACCACTTAGAGAGACTTGTAAGGTCATTCTGGAGAAGTATGCAGTCTTGCAGAGAAGAAATTGGCATAAAACACTTGGCATCGTCAGCAAAAAGCAGGATTTTACAAAATGAAAATGTAGAAGGAAGATCATTTACAAAAACAAGAAATAAAAGAGGACCAAGAATGCTTCCCTGAGGTACACCAGAGATAACGGGCAAAGTGTCTGACGCAGATTGCCCAACAGATACATACTGAACCCTATTGGTCAGATATGCCCTCATCCAGGACCAGAGTTTGCCAGTAATACCGAATTTCCATAGCTTGTAGAGTAGCTCACTGTGAGCTACAGAGTCGAAAGCTTTCCTAAAGTCTAGATACACCACATCTGTTTGAGGTACAGAGGAGTTGAAAATAAAATGAAGAAATATAAGCAGCTGTTGTAGAGTAGAGCGACCACGTAAAAAACCGAATTGGTGAACTGTAATGGAGGATGTAACGAAGTCCACAATACCATTGTATATTAGTTTTTCTAGAACCTTAGAGACAACCGGTAACAGAGAAATTGGTCTGTAATTCCTGACTGAGGTTTTATCACCAGATTTAAAAATTGGTCTTATTAAGTGAGTACCCCATTCTATTGGAAGATAACACTGGGATAGAGTCAAAGAGAATAGATGGTGAAGTGGTTGGTAGAGAGCCAGAGCACAAGTTTTAAGTAGCTTAGGACTAATTCCATCACATCCCATAGCTTTGGACAGGTCAAGGGATCGGAGAGCACGGAAAACATCTAGTTCGCTAACGGTAATTTCGCCGAGGAGAGACGGAGGCTGAGACAATTCAGTGGGAGGTGGTAACTGAAACGAACTTTTTGTAAAAATTGAGTAAAAGAACTCATTAAATAATGCAGCTTTCTCACAATCAGAGGCAGCAGTAATGTCGTCAAGATGTAAAGATGAAGGCAGTAAGTTATGATTGGATACTGAGCGAATATAAGAGAAGACCAGAGAAGACTGGTGAGAATCAATAAGATTTGTTTCAAAATCAGTTTTGGCTTGTGCTAGCTTGCATTGGAGAAGACGTTCCAGATTCATAATTTTAGTGCATCTTTGTGAAGTAGGATGAGATTT